TTCTCAAGTTCTTAATTACATTGATACTATCTCTTTTGATTTGATTACCCTAGCTGGTTGTGCACAAACTCAACTGTCTATCCATATTAAGAAAATTTATTTTGTCGGGGCCGGCCCGGTGGCACACTGCTACAGTGCGCCGCTTGGGAAGTGCGGCGGCGCTCCCGCCGAGGGTTCGGATCCCACATACAGACCGGCAGCTCACTGGCTGAGCGAGGTGCGGGAGCAACACCGAGGGTTGCGATCCCGTGGCCGGTCCCGGTCCGGTACGGGCGCGACACTGAGGGTTGCAATCTGTTGCCGGTCACGAAAAAAAAGACAAAAAGGGGAAAAAAAAAAAAAAAAAGAAAATTTATTTTGTCAACATCAGGAGTCACAAATTGTATTTACTGACTATAAAGCCATTAACAAGTGTGGATTATTCTCAAACAACATTGCTATAATTAAAAGAACACATAACATTTATTGAACACTAACTATAGGCAAGGGACAGTGCTAGCCTCACATTTAATCCACTGAACAACTAGAGAGGAATTTGATTTGATTATACTGTACTCTCAGGGTGAGCTGATGAACACGTGGTGAAATGGTCAAATAATCACGTCCAACTCAAGAGTATTAAGGCAAGTGACAAAGTTGAGCAATCTAATCTATACCTGAGAAGTCAAACAGGAGCAGTCTAGGAGTTACCACATTCTAGCCTGAGATCTGGATTCTTGGGGCCAACCGGCACTTGGTAACAGAACTGGGTTGAAGTAAGTTGAGTTTTGCTCAAAGGACAAGCAGAAGGGGAAAGGTAAAGATAACAAGGAAGATGAAGAAAAACAGTGATACTTTTTAAAAGCATATGTTTTTTAAGTGAAAAACTGAGATTTTACCAATGGGCATTTTTAAAAATTAGAAATCTATCACAGTAGGCTCTTTAGTGAAACAGATTATTTTGCTAGAATCAAAAGCATAAACTAGAAAAGAATCAGCTTTGAGTAAATCCCGACTAGTCTAATGAAACATTCCTACAGACTACATCACTGAGAAAAATTAGTTTCTAGTTCTGAAGGATTTCATTCAAAAGTGCAAGGCTCAGGCCGGCCCGGTGGCTCAATGGATAGTGCGCCGCTTGGGAAGCGCGGCGGCGCTCCCGCCCGACATGGACATATACTCATGTGCTGTATATATTAAAAATACTTGAGAGGGTGATGTAGGGATCTCAATTATAAATCTTCAGGGCAAGAATCTTGCTTACTTTGCTGCTATAAGGAAGGTCCTGACAACAGCGATATTAAAGTCCTTTTCTTGCTAAGTCATGAATGTAAAGGGGATAAACAGGTTAAGTTTGTACTTCCAACAGCTAGAGGCAAGATTTTTCTCAGTTATTACAACATTACCACAAGCATGTGGATTCTGTAAAAGTTGCCCAGCAACATTACAGTAGAAAATACACTGGGAGGGGAAAGGAACTAGAAATTTGAATTAGATATGCCCTGGGGCAGGTGGGTGTAACCCATCTCCCCAGCACAGTGTGTGCTGTACTCAGAGAAGTATGACATTTTAAAAATCAGAACAGTCATGTAAAATTTCAGTTAGGACACTGCTGCAGTTAAACCAAAACACTGTGCCATGTTCTCAGCTGGAGGAGACAGGGTGTGGGTTTCTCAGTCATTTTGGAACTTTTGTTTTAAAGATCACTAGATTTTCATTCAGTTATTCCAGAAAGATTTATTAAGTACTTTCTCAGAGACCAAGGCACAGTTCTGGTTCCTGGAGCTCTAAAGACAAATAAAATTTGGTCTGGCCTTGGTGGGAGGGGAAGCCAGACAAGTAAACAAAGTAAGTGTTACATAGTCCATCCCAGGTATGATGGAAAGTCAGGTGCAGGGACTGCAAAAAGTAAAGGAAAGGCTTCATAGAGGAAGTTACTCTAGCACAGAGTCTTGTTTTCAACTTTTAAAAAATTCCTTCTCTTCCCCAACCATGCTATATATTCGTTGGGAACTTACCTCTCCCATTCTGTGTGAAGACTTGGGTGTCAAGAATTCAGTCCTGGGGGCCGGCCCGGTGGCACACTGCTACAGTGCGCCGCTTGGGAACGCGGCGGCGCTCCCGCCGAGGGTTCGGATCCCACATACAGACCGGTTCCCGCTCACTGGCTGAGCGAGGTGTGGGAGCAACACCGAGGGTTGCGATCCCGTTGCCGGTCCCGGTCCAGTACGGGTGCGACACTGAGGGTTGCGATCCGTTGCCGGACACGAAAAAAGACAAAAAGGAAAAAAAAAAAAAAAAAAAGGATTCAGTCCTGGGCCATAGACCGAGAACTCTTCCCTTCCCATCTGGAATCCAGGCCCTTTTGCCCCAGCCTACTTCAAGGACCTCCCAGTTGAGAGAAGCAGACAGGTGGCAAAGTAGGAGTTGATAAAAAACAAACAAAACAAATACTGTTAAGAGTGTTTACCTCCAGGAGAGTTAATCGGGATGGGGATTGAAGGGGCAGGTGGGAGACTTCTGTTCCATTTAAATTTTTATCATTTGAGAAGACAAAAAAAGGCAATGGAGAAAAAAATGATAAAGAATCATGCCTGCTAAGCTCTACAAACTTTCACTGAATAAGTAGTAATTTTCTGTTCAAAATCTTAAATTGGCATATTTATCTGCAAACATGCAAATTTAGGAACTAAACAAACCAACAAATATTTAAGTAAGGACTCTTTTATGAGGGTACTTCAAAGAGTTTATGGAAAGATTTGTATCATCTTTCAATTCTATTTTTCCACAAACTTTTTGAAGTACCTTCATACCACAAGATAGTGAGCACCTAAGGGGCACCAGAATACTGCAATAAACAAGATAGAGAAGGTTCCCTAACCTAAGGGATGTCATTTTTCTAGAAGGGGATAATAATAAACCAACATACTTAGAGAAAGATATAAGCTTTTTAAGGAAGTAAAGCAGGGAGTTCTGAAAAAGCAAGGGGGGGAAGGAAAGTGAGATTGCATGGTTAGCAACAGTGGATACAGAATTCTTATATAGGAGGGGCTTAGGAGCACACTTCTTTTACACACAACACACGTTACAAATCAATAAAAAGTAGCTGTTTTCTAAAGGAATTTTTACTTACACTTCACATAAAATTAAGAAAATGTCATTTGTCCATATCAAAGAATTATATGTTAGGTGTGACAGGAGCGGAGGTGTTGGAGGGAGGGTGCTAAAAACTACTCCTTGGCTTTGGCCACCCTGGATCAGAGAATGCCTTTCCTTGAAACATAGGCATGTAGAGTTATTGTCCCTCAAGAGCTTAAAATTAAATTTTGATTAACATACAAAAAATACACATTTATATATCAATTAGCAAATGTCTGGAGATGACACCTGATGACCCTTCTTTCCCATGTGATGTGTTAAGCACACTAAAATGTCTTTAGAAATTCAGCTTGAATTTACTTAGCTTTTGAAAAGAAATCAGAACAACATATACGACAAAGTGTTAATATCGATAAAGTGCTACAATAAGAAAAATAGACAATAGAAATAAACGTAAATGGCTATTAAACCCATGACAACTGCTAATACAACTCGATAATACAAATAACAAAACCACATTAACAAACATTAAATACCCACTGATGTCCAGAATTCACAGTGTGCTCTAATCCACTGCTAGAGAGCATGTAAATTGTTTTTCTGGAGGGCAGTTTGGCCACTCCAGGCGCCGCTGCCCGGGTTCGGTTACATAACCGCCCGGCCGCACCCCCGCTCGCTTTCCTGCGCCGCCACCAAAAGTTGGCAGTCCCTGTTTTGGGCCCTGCCCAGAAGTTGTCCGTTAAGATTATGTAACTGAACAATGGGCCTCGTCTGGGACTTCATCTTACAAAGGGGCTGGTCGTCGGCGTCCAGGTGGCTGGTGATTTGCAGCCCGAGGTGTCAGCCCCAAGTATGGCACCGATAACATGGTCTGCAAAGATGCTGCAGGGGTACTGGCCCGGACACCTGACACTCCCGAGCCATATGGTGCCTTTTAAACGCCGCAGTCGGGCCTGTAATTTGGTCGGCGCAGGCAGAAGGAGTTCAATTAAAAACTTTTTTTTTCCCCCTACGCTTATCGTTTCGTGTTATGGGGCAAAAGTTTTAGGTCTGGAGGGAGACTGCGCTTCGACTTGGGAGTAAAGGCTAGCCCTCCAAGCATTCAGTCTTAAAGACATAAAATTCAAGGTAGCATTTAAGCCTCTTTTGGGGCATGGTACTGGGCAAGAGTTTGTTTATATGCTTGGGTTTGCATTGCCCAAGTTCGCTCGGCCTTCGTGTGAGTAGGAACACCCTACTATTGATAAGGTATCTTAAACAGGTGTGCAGCACCTGTTTGTCTAATGGCCAGTGAGTGTGCAGATTACCACGTCTAAAACTTTAGTAGTCACAGCAGATTTAAATACGGACACTTGCCGAAATTGAGACAAGTATCCCATTTGTAATTACGGTTAATATGGAAAAATGTACTTTTTAAAGTGAGTTCGTTTTTTCAACGTACCGGTAGTCATAGGCCTCTGTAGTACGTGTGCTTTTTTGATCGCTGCTGTTTATTAGCTGGCTTGCCCTAGGCGAAAATCCCTCTGGAAGTGAGGGGAGGAGTCCAGCGGGGGTGGCTTTCAAAGCCCTATGTAGGTGGGGGAGGGGAGCTTTTATGGGGCTTTCTGACTGCTTTCTGTTTTTAGACGAGTTGAAAAGGTTTGTTTAACTTTTAGCCACTAGATTGAATTTAGCTTTAGCCAGCATTCACATTCTTTTTAGGGTTAGAGACTGATTCTACTCGGTTGTCTTTTTCAGAAAAGGTGGTTAGTATTCAGCTTTCAGACTCCTAAGTTAGCTTCTTGTTTATTTTGCTTGAAATATAACAAAGGCTTGTATGTTGATTTGATCTACACATTTAACTACGTGAAAGGCTGGTTGAATGTTAGGTTGAGAAGGCTTACCTTCTGTAGGACTTGGATCCTAAAAATTTTATTTTTCTTTCCATAGAGTTTGCTTTCCAAAGCTCGAGGAATCGATTCCAGCTCTGTTAAACTCCGGGGTGGTTCTCTATTCATGGATACAGAAAAATCAGGAAAAAGAGAATTTGACATGCGACAGACTCCTCAAGTGAATATTAATCCTTTTACTCCAGATTCTGTGTTGCTTCATTCCTCAGGACAGTGTCGTCGAAGAAAGAGAACCTATTGGAATGAGTAAGTTGTTTATTTAACAGTTTGGTTCCCCATGCGACCCAATATTGGTTTGGTATAATTATCAAAATTTAGTCTGTACTGAATGGCATGGATGCTTGTGTGCTCTGAAATCTTTTCTTTTACAAGCACCTAATTCTCAGGAGATAGGTGGGAAGTAATAAGCTGTGGAAAGAAGTGGTGTGAGAAAAAAAGGAATAAAAAGCCTAGATATCTTGTAGGAAATCTACTGGTGTCAAAAATGAGGCAGGCAGAGAGTTGATTTAGAAAGGCTTTAGTATTGATATGTGTGGTGGTGTTGGCTTCTGTTTAGTGAGTATAGCTCTATAGGGACAATATTTTCATCAGCTGGGCTGAATCTTGTGATTATAAAATCAACTAAATGCTGACTTTTCTGTTTTTCTCCATCAAAATTCCACTTCACTATACTCTTTATCAGATAAACTTTTGGATCTCAAGTTGATGTATCTGTCAGATATATTGATGGAAAAATACATAATATTTTTTTCAGTTCCTGTGGTGAAGACATGGAAGCTAGTGATTATGAGTTTGAAGATGAGACAAGACCTGCTAAAGTAAATAACTTTTTATTTTCTTTTTTATTATTTCTGAAATTTGATTTCCTCTCTCTTAACAAACTATGGATATACATGTTAATTAAGCATTAAAAATTAAAACATAAGGTAGAATGATTTTTTAATTTCATATGTAAAGTCTTCACCATTGCAAAAAATGATTTTCATATCTTTGTATTAAGGATGCACTTTTTATTACAGAGAATTACAATTACTGAAAGCAATATGAAGTCTCGATATACAACAGAATTTCATGAGCTAGAGAAAATTGGCTCTGGAGAATTCGGTTCTGTGTTTAAGTGTGTGAAGAGGCTGGATGGATGCATTTATGCCATTAAGCGATCAAAAAAGCCATTGGCTGGCTCTGTTGATGAGTATGTATTAAACATTTTGTCTTTTGCTCTTTTGTCCTCTGATATTAACGAACAGTAAGGTTTTAGGTGATCAAACACTTTATTTATTTATTTATTTTTTGTCTTTTTCGTGACCGGTAAGGGGATCGCAACCCTTGGTGTGGTGTCACCCACACCGCGCTCAGCCAGCGAGCACACCGGGCATTCCTATATAGGATCCGAACCCGCGGCGGGAGCTTCGCTGCGCTCCCATCGCCCCACTCACCCGAGTGCGCCACAGGTTCGGCCCTAATCAAACACTTTAATTCTCAAGCATTTAATTCTCAAACTTTTGAGGTTATAATGATTTAATGAGGTCCTTTTCATTTTGTACCATTAGTTCTTACTGGACTTGGTAAATAATATGAATAGTCTGATTTTAGAGCCTTACGTAAATTGCTTATTTCTAGTCAGCATCCGAGAATTCACAGTAAAATGGAGGTTAGTCTTTCCCGAGTCCTAGGGCCAACAAGGTTTCTTCTCTCTGACAGTCTACTTGAATGGAAGCTTTGGAAAATCTCATACGAGTTTTAACCCCCTCTCTCTTAAGCAAGTTGTTCTTCAGCATAACAATAGATAAAAAAGTCAAGTTTTATTTTATGAAGCTTCAGATAAATTAATTCAGTTTAGGCTTGAATAAAAATGACTTACTATTCTATTAATCTCAAATTTCTCCTAGGCAGAACGCTTTGAGAGAAGTATATGCTCATGCAGTGCTTGGACAGCATTCTCATGTAGTTCGATATTTCTCTGCATGGGCAGAAGATGATCATATGCTTATACAGAATGAATATTGTAATGGTGAGTAATGAAATGGTTTTCCCGTAAACTTGTGAGCTTGAGAAAATGAACACCAAGGAAATATTTATTGTTATCTAAAGTCTTGCTCTATTTCTGTCTCTTTTTTCTCTTATAATTTCAAAGATCAGAGGTCTAATATGAATTTCAAGTGCAAGTAATGATTGCCCCTTCTGAAGCATCATGTGCATACCTCAGTAGTAAAACTTGTATTTATGTACCTGTCACTCAAACTGAGCTTCTTGAGAGGACAGTGGTCTTGCCATATATATTTTGTTATCTCTAGCACCTAGCATAGGGTGGGAAGCATATAGTAGTTAGTAAGATGTTTTGTTGAATGGATTCTGCCTGCATCTAGCCTTCCCTTTTTATTTCATTTTGCATGCTGCTAATACTGATGTTGGTTATTCATAAAAGGACAGTGACTCTCCACTGATCTAAATTGAGCTATTTCTTTAAGGCATTCTAAAATCCTGCCTCATTTCTATCTATCCAACCCAGTTTACCCTTAGAATCCACTAAAACTACTCTTTTGATTCTCTAGCTGGTCTTCTCTCCCTCTTCTCCCCTCAGAACAAAACAAGCTTGTACAGTAGTCCTTTCTTATCAATGGTTTCACTTTGAATAGTTTCAGATACCTGCAGTACAGTATGATAAGATACTTAGACCACATTCACGTAACTTCTAGTACAGTATATTGTTTTTAGAAAGACCACATTCACGTAACTTCTAGTACAGTATATTGTTATAGTTGTTCTATTATTAGTTATTCTTAGACCACATTCACGTAACTTCTAGTACAGTATATTGTTATAGTTGTTCTATTATTAGTTATTGTTGTTAATCCCTTACTGTGCCTAATTTATAAATTAAACTTTATCATAGGTTTGTATGTATAGGAAAAAATATGGTGTGTGTATATAGAGAGTGGGGTATTTATCCATGGTTTCAGGCATCCACTGGGGGTTTGGAACATATCCCCTGTGGATACAGGTAGACTATAGGTTTAGCTTTGGACCTCTGTATAGCTTTCAATTTCAACAAGTCCTTCAAAGGTCAACTGTGTCTCTCCTTTTTCATTAAACATTTACCAAAATCCTGGTCTGAATTCTGATCCTTACAGACATCTGTTATTATTACATACTCAAATCTTCATATATAATGTATTATTTCTATTTCTGTATATTTTCTGTGAATACAGAGAATTTATAATTTAGTGAACACTTGCGAGGAGATAGCAAAGACTTATTTTTGTTGATTCTCGTTATTTCTTCCTTAAATAAACAAGACCAGCCATCTTATAACTTATGAATAAATAAGTGACAGAGGTATGGATTTGGGTTCTCCATATTTAAAAACAGTGAACAAACAGAAGTAAAAGATCCGTTTCTCAGACCTGACTCATTGTCATTTTATTCTCTACACTTGAAAGAACTTGATTGTTCAGTATACAGCATTGCTGCTCGTTTGTTTCAGCTCTTGAAATGTTTCTGTTCATACCTTCACAATATTTATGTAGATATCTCCCATGACCTTGTGGACTATTCTCTTTCTTAACCCCCATTTTTCAGTCATTGCATTTAACATAGAACAACTTGACCATGTCATCTCCATTCTCTATTTGCTGGACATCATCTCTTTTTAAGTTTCTTTCTTCCTCCCTCTCTCTTACCATGTTGATATGAGTGGTTCTCTTACAGAGTATTTATTTCACTAGCAGTCTGGAAATCACAAATAATGTAGCAACTTATCTAATAACATGGTTGTGTAATTCAGATGATTTTGAGAAAATTCTCTTGGGCCTAGGAGGTGGGGAAGAGTGGTTAGTCTTGCTATGCTCTCAGATTACAAAGACTTTGTCCTGTAATAAAGTTAGATGATAAAATAATCTTTTGAAAATTATTATTTTGGAGCAATATAAAAACAGTTAAAGAATATAGATGTTTAAACAATAAATAGACCAGTGTGAAACAGGATTGCCTCTTTGTATGGTTATCTGTCCTATTTAGAAAGAAAATAAGGCTATCTAGATACATTTGTGAGCTCTGCCTTTTCTTATCTTTTGTTTAACTTTCCACCATTCCTCTCTCCACATCTTTGATTATCCTAATAGGGCTGATTTTCAGATCTTTTCCACAGTTCCACAGGGAAAGGATTCTGATATTCATTTATACCTGTTGATTAACTGATTATCCTTTATTATGACTGAAATTTCCTTATTATCTCAAACAGTCATTTGCATTATAAACCTTTTATCTTGGTTTGGTGATATAGATTGAAATTTCTAACCTGGATAAACAAGTATACAAAAATGTTGATGGATAGGAGAAGTGAAGCTGAAATTTCAGATGAGTGTTTTGCTCTTCTCACCTCTCTTGCACTTCTGACAATAAAATAGCGGTGATATAGATTGAAATTTCTAACCTGGATAAACAAGTATACAAAAATGTTGATGGATAGGAGAAGTGAACCTGAAATTTCAGATGAGTGTTTTGCTCTTCTCACCTCTCTTGCACTTCTGACAATAAAATAGAAAATACTGGCCCAGCTATTATTGCTGGCCTTCTTACCAAGCTTGATCTAGGACTTAGCTTGACTTGTCTGACAGGCTTATTGGTCTCCTCCCTTCTGGAACCCTTCCCCCCCCTTTCAAGATTTGTACAAGTTAAGTATGGAAAACATGCTTGAGACTGAGATATCCAGATGTGTGATTTATTTTTATTTTAAAAACACATTTGACATTTTGTTATTCAGTCTTGTTCAAATTGTAGGACCTCCTTTCCTGACTAAATACATCATTGACCCTCCTGATTTTATTATCCTGGCTCTGATTTTATTATTCCTAAGCTTTAAACAGAAGACCTTTTTAACAGCTCCTTATTGCTTATACTTTATCTGAGGCAAAGTTTTAAAAAATATAAACAAATTAACTGATTGGCTTGACCAGTAATATAAAAGCAGTTCTCATTCATACTAAGAGTAGTATAAATCAAAACTATACTAAGATACTGGTTTTTACCTATAAAATTTATAGACTGTTGTCAATAGTGTAGGGAAACAGGTATTCTCATACATTGATAATGGGTGTATCAACAGCCTTCTCTGTGAGGTACAGTGTATATAAGTGTGTGTAACACACACAATATGCATATATTACAAATGTACATACCCTTTGAGTCTGTGATGTTGTTTCTAGAAGATATACTAAATATGTGTGAAATGACCAATGTACAAAGTTATTCGTTAGACCATAGTATTTAATAGCAAAGGTTTGGAAATAATTTTAAAATGTGTGTTGGTTAGGGGATTGGTTAATGCATTACCCTTAAATTATACAATGGAGTTCTATAGTCACACAAGAAAGAAATGGGCAGTCTTTGTATACTGGTACAGAACGAGCTTTAAAATAATGGACATATGCTTTCATCTGTGTAAAAAGGAGCTGACTACATAAGAAACTGATAACATTGATTTACTCTAGGAAAGAGAACCAGGTGGGTTGCTGGGGTATGTGGGTGAGAGAGAGACTTTAAATTGTATTTTGTATCCATGTGAGCATATTACCTATTGAAAGAATAAATAAAATTTTGATGTCACAATCAGGTTGAAGGAAGGAGGTCTTATTTTTCAATAAGAATATTTCAGAAAGAAGAAAAGGCTGATTTTTGCTATCTTTGTTAGGCGGAAGTTTAGCTGATGCTATAAGTGAAAACTACAGAAGCATGAGTTACTTTACAGAAGTAGAGTTGAAGGATCTCCTTTTGCAAGTTGGCCGGGGCTTGAGATATATTCATTCAATGTCTTTGGTTCACATGGATATAAAACCCAGTAAGTATTAAGATCCTCTGACCTGTATTCTTTGGGGTTGTAGAGAATAAACTACTTTCTTACAGCAGTATGAAAACATATATCTTATTATGTTCTTTCATTGTTAGTTTTAAAAGACCTTTAACCTATTTATAGTATTGTTTTATGATTTTATTTTACCTCTTCCCTGTTACCCCCCTGAAATTTGAAATGAAAAACTCTTTTATTAAAAGCTGGAATAAATTTGCTGCATCTTATAGGAGCCATATAGTCTCAAAGTAGGATTCTGCTGGAGAGACTAAAAACCTGTGTTTAAAGCCCTTATAGTAAGCCAGAGCATATTAAAATTTTCCCCAGTTGACCCAAGCTCTTAACAGTGGATTTGTTCAAATTAGTGTCTGTTTAAGGACCATGAATTGCATCTGGTTATATCCGTTTTTCTTTTTCAGGTTTCACCCTTCCCCTACTTTTTAAAAATGACACAGATTTGTCTTGTAAGGTGTCCTTTCTTCTGGTTTTGACTGGTTGCTTCCCTGTGTCATTTAGCTTGTTTCTTTCTCCCCTGTATTTCCTATAAACTGGGAGTATGACTAAGGGTTGGAGGATTTGAGTTCAAACATTTTAGGCTAGATGTTTTTAGGTTGAATTTAACAAGGTTATTTTTTGTTTTTTGGGGGGGGGGTTCTGTTTGTCTTGTTTTGAAATCTATTGAAATATGTGTTGATTCATAGGAATTTAAGTCACTTTATATAACATATCTTTTTTTTTTTTTTTGTCTTTTTCGTAACCAGTAAGGGGATCACAACCCTTGGTGTGGTGTCGCCTGCACTGCGCTCAGCCAGTGAGTGCACTGGCCAGTCCTATATAGGATCCGAACCCGTGGCGGGAACGTTGCTGTGCTCCCAGCCCCTCACTCTCCCGAGTGTACCACGGGGCCGGCTCTATATAACATATCTTAATCGTTCAAGTTATGTGTAGAATTTCTTATTTTATGTTAATTCACAAGTTTTTATTTTCAAAAGGAAAATAATATATTTGGACTGGTGGTGGTAAATGTGAAGTGAATTAGTAAGGTTTGGCTATATTTACTCCTATCTTGTACAAAGTGTCAGACAAATATGAGGGGTCTTCAAAATAAAAAACAGTTCACGGAAAGATTCATATTATCTTTTAATTCTATTTTTCTATGAATTTTTGATGTACCTTTGTATAGTAGAACCTTATATTACAAGGTACAAAGTTGAAAATATTAAGGGATGTGAAGTTTAAAAATCTTCAGATTCACAAATACCACCACAAAATTAGTTGTCCTGTAAATAAAGTGAAACTGGGTAGATGATTCCGGTAAATATAACACTTTTTAATTTAACACTATGTTGATAAAATTATTAAAATGAAATCAGCCACTGAAGTTTATGTTAATCATGAGGTTAATTGAATTTGATGAAAAAGGTCGTTCGTATACAGTAGAAAATAGTGATGGCCAGTCCTATATAGGATCCGAACCCGTGGTGGGAACGTTGCTGTGCTCCCAGCCCCTCACTCTCCCGAGTGCGCCACGGGGCCTGCTCTATATAACATATCTTAATCGTTCAAGTTATGTGTAGAATTTCTTATTTTATGTTAATTCACAAGTTTTTATTTTCAAAAGGAAAATAATATATTTGGACTGGTGGTGGTAAATGTGAAGTGAATTAGTAAGGTTTGGCTATATTTACTCCTATCTTGTACAAAGTGTCAGACAAATATGAGGGGTCTTCAAAATAAAAAACAGTTCACGGAAAGATTCATATTATCTTTTAATTCTATTTTTCTATGAATTTTTGATGTACCTTTGTATAGTAGAACCTTATATTACAAGGTACAAAGTTGAAAATATTAAGGGATGTGAAGTTTAAAAATCTTCAGATTCACAAATACCACCACAAAATTAGTTGTCCTGTAAATAAAGTGAAACTGGGTAGATGATTCCGGTAAATATAACACTTTTTAATTTAACACTATGTTGATAAAATTATTAAAATGAAATCAGCCACTGAAGTTTATGTTAATCATGAGGTTAATTGAATTTGATGAAAAAGGTCGTTCGTATACAGTAGAAAATAGTGAACCACAAAACCATATTGGGATGTGGATGCTGTATGTTCAGCCAAGCTCATGGGCTAAGTGACTCATTCTTTTCACACTAGCCTTTTAGCACTAAATCAAAATTTGCACTTTGGCAGTATCACAAATTACTATGTTATAACCTTTTGTTTCTAAGTTAATATAACTGCTCAAGATTAATATGCAGATGATAAGGGTTTACTGCAGTGGTTTCCAAGTGTTCAGGGATCAGTGCTAGGCTAGAAAGTATATTCTTAGAAAATACAGTCCTGGTTCCCATCCCCCAAAATTCTTATTCTCATTGGGTTTGGAATAGAACATGAGAATCTGCATTTTAAAAAGCATTCTGGATGATTCTGATGTTTGACCTTGTTTGTGAACTCTGGTTATAATATTAACTCTTTGACAGGTAATATTTTCATATCTCGAACCTCAATCCCAAATGCTGCCACTGAAGAAGGAGATGAAGATGACTGGGTATCCAACAAAGTTATTTTTAAAATAGGTAAGAAAAAAAGATAACTAGATTGTTACTTTAAGAGGCTGTTTTGTTTTTAACTCTTTCTTTTTGGGGAATTGGAGAGTGTTTTTAACTCTTGACTGTTTTCTTTTCCAATACTTGCAGGTGATCTTGGGCATGTGACAAGGATCTCTAGTCCACAAGTTGAAGAAGGTGATAGTCGTTTTCTTGCCAATGAAGTTTTACAGGAGGTAATTTTTCTCCTTTAATAATACTGCTTGCTTTGTGACACTTATCAGTTGATAGAAAAATATAAATTCAGATATATTAAAATATTAAGTTAATAATAGTAGAATGGTTGGGGCCGGCCCGGTGGCGCACTGCTACAGTGCGCCACTTGGGAGCGCGGCGACGCTCCCG